TTGTCGTAGACGGGCGGATAAAGCGGTGTAATGCCTTGCTTTGATGGTCGAGGTGGAGGAAGACATTTTCCGGTCTAGCGGCTTGACTTGCGTACTACTGCTGTGAGATGGTCTTCTCGTTTCTTGTGGAAGCCGAAAGACGTCAGTCGACGTAGAGTGAGTTGTATTGCATAGAGTAAGCAGAGGAAGGGAGTGGGAGAAGGGCACAAATGCCACGTACGACGCGTCCGACGCGTTGAAACTCATCCGACGCGTCCCGTCGCGTGGCAACTCTTTTCCCCCAGACAGCCAGTCAGTCAGCCACCTACCTTACCCTATCTTTCACATCTTTTCCTTTTTCTCATTGTTCTCTTTACTTGATCGCTACATTCTCATCACCATGGCAAACGTCGGAGTACTCCCAGTTGCGTCTATTCCTGTGAGTGTTTGTGGCTATGGTGAGGGCTGCACTGATGAGTAGATAAACTACGAGGAAGAGTTGGGTGAGTTTTGTCTCTTTTTCAAGTCGTGATTGCCATCTAGAACATCATCTGTACCATAATCAGGATAAGTGTAACCTCAGAAGGGGGCGTGGGAGGCTGGATCTGACTCTCCGCTGGGGAGAACATGGGGCTTGATTGTATAAGACCGATATGTGGGCGGAAGAGAGGAAGAGGATGTGAAGTGAAAAACGAAGAGATTGCAAAGAGCGGCATGAGTCCGACAGAGAGCTCTTTGAGAAGAGTCTGAGGAATATTACAGTCTTTGGAAAGAGGAGAAAACACGGCAAATCTGCTCCAGTCAATGGTCTGACGTCCAGGTAAAATCGAAGACTTTCTCACCAAATTCGTCCCTCAGGCAAGGCGACCAAGACGTCATGCGCACCTTCCAGCGGACGACGATGAAGCCGCCGAAGAAGAACAAGCTTTGGCTGATGATCTCGACGACTTGGACGTTGACGATGTCGATGGAAGAGAAGGAAGGTCAAAAGCAAAGTATATGAAAGTTTTGAGGAAAGTCGCGAACCGACAGTTGGCAGAGGTCACTGTTGATTTGTCCGATTTGAGAAAGGTGAGTTGTCGTGCTTGATCCAAGTAGGACCTGACTAGGATTTAACTGACTTCAGTTTGACAACGACACCTCTCTCTTGAAGGAATATCACGCGCAACACTCGCAGATATATCAACTTGT